GCAGTAAAAGCAGATGCATTGCAACTCCTCAACATTGTGAAAGTCTATAGTACCAGGGAAGTCAGAGTTTAGAAAGGTGCAGACAATGAATGAGAACAACAGCGGCACTCTAAAGAATGTGCTGAAGCTTCTCACACCAAAATGTAAGAACGAGTCATTCATGAACTAAACACATCCATCCCGTATGTTTCGTCTAAGGAAGTTCAAATAAAAGAATGACTGAAAAATCATCCAAAGATCTTATCACTTTAGCTTACTGTAAAATTGTCTTAACTTCTTTCTGTTGTATCTGTACTTTGTCTTCTGCCTTCCTCTCCTCCCTCTCCCATATTACTCTCAAGTCCAGCCCCTCTACTGAATCTTCTCTCAGTTTCATTAACTTTTCCACTATGTCCCTTTCCTTAAATATGGCCTCTGTCTTGCAGTACTCTTGTCAATCTCACAACTAAAAGCCCCTGATTACTGATTCGTCCATGTGTGGATAAATAGTTATTTCTTTCGGACCGTCATGATTCATGAGCGCTGGCGCAGCGTTCATTGCAAATCTAGTCCGACTACCGCCCACTTACGCTTCCAGCCGAATGCAGTCGCTCTCCTCGACTTTGGTCTTCGATACGATCATTTTCATAACACTCCTGTAAAGTCGTGCACTAGACGTTCCCGTTTCTAATCCCATTTCTTGACCGATCTGTCAGAATTTAGATCTCGCTGCAAAGACCCTGTCATTATTCTGAAACTGGCCTTGTTTAAGACAACAATAACGCTTGAGGTAAATCAGTAAAGCCTAACAAAAATTGTGTAGAGGTTGCTGGTAAGTAATTATATCCTGACCTTTACTCTAATTCTGTAAACTCACTCTGAAAGGAATGTTGTCTGCAATAGCCGTATGGATGGAATCACGAGCACATCTCGGCCATACCCAATGAATCCCTGACTCAAGCAGTAGTATCTCAACTTTCTATTTTGAAATACCACCTCAAAAAACAAACTTCCAGTTTCTAACTTTACCACTTCATCTTCAACTACAGATCCCTTTTCTAGAGTTTTTCCAAATCTTATTCTACATTTCTCAATCCTTTCCTGCCTTTCAAGTCCTTCGAAAGTTATTATAACTGCGTCCAGATTAACTTCAACTATGGCTAATATGTAGGAGGGCTTCCCTCTCGCCTCTACACAAAATTCTGTAGCCTGAACTGGAAATCTTAAAGTTCCTCGGCGAAGGAGGAATTTTTTGATCACTGACTCCAAAAAGGGCCCTCCCCCAGCGTGTCGCGTAGCTTCCCAATTTGGTACGACTTTACCCGTATTTTATTGAATGGGTTTAATAACTCACTGATCCTAGTCAGCATAAAGAAGATTCTTTTTTCTTTCAACTCAGCTGACTTTACGACGTGAGTCTAAGACGCTGACTAGTCTTAAACTGTCGATGCGGACCACTTTTTGCTTGTTCACTACTGGAATCACTACTATGTATGCTTAGGGAGAACTTGCCACAACTTTGCTGTCTTATAAAAGCTCATTGAGTTTACGCCTGAACGCACTGTGCGTGTGATTGATCTCATCACTGACCATTTGATTAGCTACATTCCAGAATATTACAGTAGAGTCCGAGAAAACACTCTCAGTAATTGGTACATACCTCGTAGTAAAAAAATAAATTAATAAGAATAATAATTACCTATTATTACTAAAAACGCACACAAGAAAAGTAATTTGCTAATGGGCACGTGAAAGAATCGTGAAAAACACAACGCAAAAAGAACGTTACCGATCCAAAATGGATTCAGACACACTGACCCCAACTGAGCCTAACCCTCTATTTATACACTAATCCTGCACCTGTAGTAATCTTATCCAATGTCCTCCTGAAAGCTTCCCCTCACCAAACATGCAGCAGCCAACGATTATAACTGCGCATGGATTAATCTTTAATACAGCACAAGTGTGTTCTTATAACCCTCATCTTAACCCCACAATTAATCCTTATACTGTAATACTGTCATTTCGCGTGAGG